GCGCGCGGTACCAAGTGGACGCGCGGGGCGCGCGCGTGGGCTGCAGCTTCGGGGACGTGTCCTGGGCCTCGGCGCAGCTCCAGCGCCTCCTGGTCAAGGGCCGCGCCCCGGGCTCCGCGGTGCCCTGCTCCGAGGTCATCGCGCCGCTGAGAGAGATTGGTGAGTGAGGCCGGGGGTCCGGGCCAGCAGCCCCCCGCGCCAGCTGGGGGAGCCCTGTGCTGTGGGGCTGCTCTGAATGTGCCCCCGTCCCCGTGGCTGCCGCTGTGGACGCAATTTCTCCCCATCCGGGAGCCCGGGAGTAGGGGCGCAGGGTGCGTGCAGGGTGGGCGCAGAGTGTGCGCTGTCAGGGCTCCGTGGAGAGGCCACTTGCTTCTGGAACGTTCCGCCGCAAGCACCTCGCGGCTCGAGGCTCCTGGCGGATGGATCCTGCATTCTGGGGCGGCCCCTCCCAGGCCCTGGGGTCTCCCGCTGCCCGCGCCAGGGGGCTGGGTCCTCTCTGCTGCCCACGCGTCCGCCCCAGCTGTGCCAGCCCCAGAACCCACAGAAGCAGGGCGCAGGTGGCGCGGCCCTGGGCGCAGAGTCTGCAGCGCGCACCGTGGCTCAGCCCTCGGCCTCGGGCGCAGGGAGGGATCCTGTGGGCCGAGGCCCGTCGCGCGCGCGCGCGTGGAGCTCGGTTAGGGCCGCCCTGGGGATTTGGGGCGTTCTCAGTCAAGCGGGAGGGCCCGGGAGGGAGGGTGGCCGCGGCGGGGTGTGCGTGCGGGACCCTGGGGAGCGCCGTGACCGCGCCTTCTCAGACGCTATCTCGCGCGGCAGCTGGGCGAGTTTCCGCTGGACACGGGCGCGTGACCACAAACCCAGTGACTTCAAACCACATCCTGCCCCCTCCTTGAGGCCAGACTCCAGGGGCACCAGGGCCGCGCAGTCCCCCCCGGCTACAGGGGCGCCCCTTCCCGCCCTGTCCGGCTCCTGGGACTCCAGGTGTCCACAGGGCGCCGCGACGGCGCGGGGGATCCTCGGCTGCGCACACTGGAGGACGCCGGCCCGGCCAGGCTCGGGGACTCCTCGCGGCGGGGCCCAGATGGGGGGTGGTCAGCAGCTCACCCGCTTGCCTGCTCCCCACGAGGGGCACCCGGGGCTGTGGCCAGGACAGGGGACCCGGTGCTGGGGATCTCCATGCAAGCTCAGGCTCCTGGGGGTGCAGGCAGGGGCTGAGGGCTGGGATCCTGGGGTGCACACCTGAGCAGGGGTGCCCAGGTCTCCCTGCAGCGGGAGGAGCCGGGAACTGGGGGGGCAGAGCACCTGGGCTGGGCGTGGGCTCTGCACCCACACGGTTGTGCGGGATCAGGAGGCCCCTGGGTGGCTGCTCCGGCAGGTGGGGCTGGGAGCCCAGAGCGGGGATCCTTGAATCTGGGGAGCCCGGATCCCAGCTTTAGGGGTTCCCCAGCGCCATCAGCTGTGGCACCTTCCAGGGGCCTCGGGAAGGGTGGGTGGGGGCCGTGGAGCTGCCCGGGACTGAGCATGCTGCTTGGGGAGTCTGCAGGGGCCTGGCCCTGGCCGTCTGTGCCCCCCAAAAGCAGAATCAGTGGGACTGAATGTGAAGGGGCAGGAACGGCCTGTCCTGCAGACGCGTGGCCAGGACAGCAGCCGCCGCCCCTGGACACTCCCAGAGGGACCCAGGGCGGTGGGAGGACAGTCGCTCCTGGGGGTGTCTCTGGGGTGACGCTACATCGGCGGGACTCACCGGGTGGGTTTCTGGGTCAGAGAGACTGAGCCCCCCAACCTGAAGTGCATGTGCGAGGGGCCCCGCGTGGTCCTGACGTGGGAGCCGCCCAGCCGCCTGCAGAAGCTGCTCCTCTGCGACGTTCAGGTGCACAAGGTAGGGGCGGGGGGCCCCGCAGCTGTCCCCTGCGCCCTGGGGTCCGGGGGTCAGGAGGACAGAGCTTGAGTTAGTCACTATTCCACCTTTTGGGGGCCTTATACTGTCTGTTATTCATCCTCAATCACCGAGTGGACTCATGGCTGCCGGACGGCGCGGTCACCGCTGTAGCCGAAGGTGGACTCGCGGCCCCGGCTGGCCATTCCCCCCACTTCCCTGCGCTGGCAGCACCCACCCCTCTGGGGGGCACTGCCTGCACCCCCACAGGCTCCTCCCAGGAGCATCATCCCCTTTCGGCCAGTAGGACCCCAAGGGGCCCCGGCCCCTGTGCTGGAGACTCTCAGGGCCAGCTGTGTGTCCCGAAGCTCCTGCTTTGGCTGGTCACGGGCCCAGGGTGCCCCTGCAGAGCCACCTATTCCGCGGGCCCCGCCGCAGAGAATTGGGGAGCCGGGGGTCTTTCTTAAGGGATAGGAGCAGACCTCCCACCTGCACCCCGAGTCCGGCTCCCCAAGGGACTGAGCTCCTCTTCTTGCCATGAAGCCACCTCCCTGCTTTTGTGCTGAACCCCTCGGAGACCCGTCGCAGCACCCCGGGCCGGGGGCACCCCCAAACTATTTTGCACATAATATATTTTTCCTCTCGTGTCAATGTTGGCCTGTGGTCATGCCTGTGGGTCCCCGTTCAGGGTCAGAGTTTGGCCATTGCTGGGAGGATCACACCCCAGAACCCTTTTCCTGGGGTCTCGCGTATCCCCAGCCGCAGTGGGGGTTCCCCAGGGAAAGGGTTTGCGGTGTGTCCTTGCTGGGGTGCGCGGCACAGACCCGTCGCCCCCACACGGGCAGGCTGGGCCATGGGGTCAGCATCTCCTGCACTCACTGCGCCCCTGGGCATGTCCGTGTGGCACGTGTGGGGCGGGCGCCGCGGTGCGCGGAATAGCAGGAGACATTCATGTCCTGGAATACGATGCTGCGTTGTTTCAGGAGTGACACAGGCGCAGGTGTGCAATACTGCGTGTGCCAGGTACACACGTGCACGTGCCTAGGTATCAGTAGACTAAGTCGTTACATTAACATGTGAAATTATTATATTAATAACGCTTACTATAATGTGTCCCTTTGCTATACATCAATGCAGGTGTATGTGTATAAAATATATGATGTTTATGTGTCTAAATACTAATATATATAAATGTATGCACGTTCCTATATATTATTAGGTTAAGTTGCTTCATTAATGTGTGAAATTAATATAAAATGTTAATGTGATATATATTATTGCTATTTATTAATGCGGGTGTATGTATATAAAATATGTTTATGTATCTAAATACTAATATATATATAAATATATGCATAGGGATACATGTTATTAGATTAAGTTGCTGTATTAATGTGTGAAATTAGTATCAAATATTAATAATGCCTACTATAATATATATTGTTGCTCTATGTTTATGCAGATATCTGTGTATAAATACTAATATATATGAATATATCCATATTGATATATATTATTAGAACATATTAAGTTGCTCTATTAATATGCTAAATTAATATGTAACATTAATTTAATTTAATATCATGCTATATATTATTTCTAGATGTTAATAGATACATGTATGTGAATATTTATATAAATACATGCATATTCACATATAGTATATTGTTATATTAACATGCTAGATTAATATGTAATATTAATACAACTTAATATACTATATTATTTCTATATATTAATAGATTTATGTATGTAAATACTAATATGCTGTATATAAATGTGTGCACAATAATAATATATTATATATAAATATATGCATATTTTATATATTATCATATTATGTTGTTATATTAATATGTTAAATTATATATCATAGTAAACCAACTTAATGTTATCTATATATTAATAGATATGCGTATATAAATAGAAATATATAAATATATGCATATTCACATATATATTGTTAATGTTCTAAATTAATATGTAATATTAATAAACTTAACATGCTACATTCACTATTTCTGAATGTGAATAGATACATCTATATAAATACTATTCTATATAAATATATGAATTATTTTATATATTATCAAATGATACTAACTTGTTATGTTAATATGTTAAATTACATGTATTAAACCAACTTACTACAATGTTATTTAAATATTAATAGATACCTGCATATAAGTAGCAATGTATAAATTTATGACTCTATATATTATTACACTGATATTATATCCAATTATATATATTATTATCCTGATACATATATTAGTTGTTATACTAATATGCTAAATTAATACATTTATTTAGTATTAGTATAATTAATAAATTAATACATTTATTAGTAAATTATTAGTAAGTTAATAAATTATTAGTAAAAATTAATAAATTATTAGTAAATAGAATATTAGTAAATTAATAAATTAATACATTTATTTAGTATTAGTATTAGTATAATACTATTAATGTGACTTAATATAACAGCACATGGAATCTACATATTAATCCAGGCCTCTGCATACAAAGACTAATCTACATCACACATGGATATCTGCATATTTATTTCATATTTCCATCTAATTTCTCTATATTATGTTCAACTATACTTTATAGTAACGTGATTTCATGCCACATTTTACACTAACGTGTCCATATTTATGCAGTTTATATTCCGTCTAGACACAGGCCTATTTGCAGATATTTTCTCTCCATTATCAATGTGCACATTGACATATTGCGCATGTCCGGGCACCCTACCCAAATCCTAGGGGTATTTCACGTCCACCCCACATAGAAACGCAGATATTTAGCTGCGCTGCGTCCTGTCTCCTGCGCGCACGTGGACCTGACCTTGGGGCCCCAGCGACGCAGCCCACAGGGACCACGTGCCCGTGCCGGGGGCGCGCCCGCCACAGGGGGCCGTCTCGGAGGAGCGGGGACCCGGAAGAAAACGGGGTGAGACCCCGCGGGTGCGGGTGTGGGTGCGGGGGTGGGGCCGTCAGAGGCCGTCGAGGCAGTCGCCGTAGTCGCCGCGTCTTGGAAACATCGTCTTTTAATGTAAAAAAAATAAATAGAAACAAAAGCACAGAGCCGCGTCTGCGCCGGCGGAGGGGTTTGTGGGCGGGGAATGGGGGGGTTGGGGCGCTCAGGGTGCCGCGTGGGCTGCGGTCACCTCCTGCACGGTCAGCACGTCCTCGACGTCGCCTTTGCCCGCACCCTTCGTCAGCGCCTCCCAGGAAATCTGGAGATATGCGGGGTCTCAATTTTGCGCTGACGCGCACTCCCGGGTGGGGCTGGGGAGGGGCGCGCAGGGTCCCGCGGGGCAGTCCTGGGGGATCGAGCTCCTGGGGCGCCGGAACCGGAGGGGAAGGAGGACTGGACAGTGCCAGGGGCCAGCGGGACCCTGGAGATGAAGGGGACTTGGGGCGCGTGGGGTCTTGCTCCCAGTGGAGCCAGGGCGCAGGGGCACCGCTCAGGATGGAGGGGACCGGGGAGCCATGGGAGGACTCGGGGCCAGTGGCTGGGGACCCCGAGCCTGACCAGGGATGTCCCAGGGAGGAGGTGGGTGGCCCAGGGGCCTCGGGGAGGGCTCGCATGTCCCCCACGTCCTCCGTCTGTGGGTACGTCCCCAAGATGGGGGCCCTGGTCTCTGTCTCCATCTATCTGTCCACCTCCGCTTGCTCCTCCAGCCGCCCTGTCTCTCCCCCTGGCTGTGGGTCTCTGTGTCTCCCTGTCTCTCTCTTCTTCTTTCCCTTCTCTCTCCCCCTCACCCCCATCCCTGAAGACAGCACCCCCCACACCCCCAGCTCCCCCCAGGAGGACCGTGAGCTGGGTAGGGTGGCAGCCACCCCAGACATCGAGCGGGGAGGTCCCGGTACCTGCTGGTCGGCGGGGGTGCAAGTCCACTTGTCCCTGATGCGGGGCACGGGCGGGAACAGGCGGCAGCGCCCCAGCACCCTGGGAGACAGAAGTGGCTGCAGGGACGTGTCCCCAGCCCCCCAGCAGCTGGGAACACGGCCCCCCAGCTCACCTCCCTGGGCTACGGATACAGCCCGTCCTAAGGAGGGTGGGTGACCCCAATCACCCTGGGCTCTCAGAAGGGGACCAGCCTGGGGAGTTGGGGCTCTGCAGTGCCGGCCAGGACTGGGGTTACCTGTTAAAGAGGAGGCCAAGCAGGACGGCGCCCACTAGGGTGCCCAGCATGATGGCCAGGTACAGGAACACGGGGCTGGTCTCCTGCTGCTCACTGCCTGTGGACAGAGAGGGGTGCACCGGCTCCTTCCCGCGTCCCTGCCAAGCACCCACAGGACCCCAGGGGCTCCGGAGCACCCGGAGTCTGCAGCCCTGTCCCCAACGCGTCCACCCACAGGGAGGCGCCCAAGGGAACCCGCCATGTTCGGGCACGTGCACCACACTCTCCTGCTGAAATTTAAGGGGTGATAGCACCTGACTGTCGGGTGAGGACGCGCAGATGCGCAGTCCTCCCGTGGGAGACCCCAAGACAAGCACAGGCCAGCCCTGATCCCACCAAACACCCGGCAGGAAAGGCGCATCCTCGGCCGTCCACCGCAAGACCTCAGAGACCACCCCGTCTGCCACCCTGTTCCTGGGAATGTCTGTTTCTCTGCCCGTTTTTAACCTGCTTGTAAACCGGGTCCTTCAATTGCGCAAGGGCGTGGACACCCAGCGTGGGATGGCCTGGGTGACTGCCCAACATTTTGTCCTCATTCTGGGGTATCCTGTCCTCTTCCTTCCGCTTAGTGTCCTGGATGCCCAGTGCGGGGAGGTGGACGCCGCACCCGGTCGTGGCCACAGTGGCCGCAGATGCCCTGGCCCTGCCTGTGCTTTGTTGCTGCCGCTAGTGCCGGCCACGCGCTGGTGCCTAGTGTCTGCGCCCCAGGCCACTCCCTCCAGGGCTGGGTAAACATTCCCAAGCGTCCGGCCGGGAGGTTACAGAGCCCAGGGTGGTGACCAAGGGCTCGCCGTGTGCATGCGGTGTAGACTTAGCAACCCACTCACTGCGCGTCCAGACCATCCAATTGAAGCTACGGGGAAGACCTGGGCGCTGCTTGGCCCTGGGCTGGCACCATCGGGGGCGCCAAGACCCAGGGGCTCCTGCGGGCAGGGGTGAGCCTGAAGGCCCCTCTTGACACCTGCGCCTTGCGGGAACATCCCCCCACGCCAGAACTGGCGCCCCACGCTCCAACACACGCACCCAGGCCCCAACGTGCCCCCCCCCACCCCCGTGCACGCACCGAAGTGGACGGGCGCGCTCCAGGCGCTCCAGGGCCCAAAGCGTATGTTCGCCCACCGCACTCTCACGCTGTGCCTGCCTCGGGGCTCGGGGCTCGGGAATTCGTACTTGCGCCCCAAGTCCAAGGGCACATCGATCTGGGGAGGAAAGAGGACAGAGACGCGCTGGAGAGGACCGTAGCCCCTGGCCAGGGTGACGGGCAGGTGTGGGGAGGTGCCCGCACTGTGAACCCCAGCCCTGTGCCCGCAGGGAGGGGTGCGTGGGGTCCAGAACTCAGGGTGAACCTTTTCCCTGAAGCCCCGAGGGAGGGTTGAGCCACGGCTGCAGACGGGGGTGCACTGCCTCAAGTCCCAGGCCTGTCTACACTGGGTCCTTCTCTACACATGGGCCAGAGGCCTCCTCTGCCCTGGTCTACACTGGGCCCAGGAAGAGGTTGGGCAGAGGCCTTGTCTACACTGAGTCCTGGTCTAACCTGGGTCCTTGTCTACACTGGGTCCAGGAGGACATGGGCAGAGGCCTCATCTACACTGGGTCCTTGTATACTTATGGGGCAGAGGCCTCTTCTACACTGGATTCTCATCCACATTGGGTTGGTGTCTATACTGGGTCCAGAAGGACGGATGGTAGGGACCTTGTCTACACTGAGTCCTAGTCTGCACTGGGTCCTTGTCTATACTGGCTCCAGGAGGATGTGTGCAGAGGCCTTGTCTACATTGGGTCCTTGTAGACATATGGGGCAGAGGCCTTGTCTACACTGGATTCTCCTACACAGAAGCCTGTCTACACTCAGTCCTCATCTACATTGGGTCCTTGTCTACACTGGGCCCAGGAGGACACGGGCAGAGGCCTCATCTACACTGGGTCCTGGTCTACACTGAGTCCTTGTCTACACTGGGTCCTTGTCTACACTGGGTCCAGGAGGACACAGGGCAGAGGCCTCATCTACACTGGGTCCAGGAGGACATGGCGCAGAGGCCTCATCTACACTGGGTCCTGGTCTACACTGAGTCCTTGTCTATACTGGGTCCTCATCTACACTGAGTCCTGGTCTACACTGGGTCCTTGTCTACAGAGGGTTCAGGAGGACACAGGGCAGAGGCCTCATCTACACTGGGTCATCATCTACACTGGGTCCTGGTCTACATGGGTCCTTGTCTACACTGAGTCCAGGAGGACACGGGTCACAGGCCTCATCTACATTGAGTGCTCATCTACACTGGGTCCTGGTCTACACTGGATCCTTGTCTACACTGGGTCCTGGTCTACACTGGGTCCTGGTCTACACTAGGTCCTGACTTCTGGAGGGGCCGAGAGGACCCTGCCCAGTGGAGGTGTGTGGACGGCCAGCGGGCGGCAAGGTCGCCTGGGCGGGGCTGCCCGTTGCAGCGTGGACAAGGGGTGTGATGGGATGACCATGGGGGCTTGTCCTGGGGTGTCCCCTCCCCTCGGGCTGGGTGCTGGCCCTCTGGCTCCCCCGCCCCGGCCTGGCCACAGGCCACGTGACCGTCATGGCTGCAGGTTCCTGGCGGCTCAGCCACGGGGTTTGGACTCACCAGCATCTCTTCGTCGTTCTTCGAGTCTCCCTAGGACAAAGAGCTGGTCACTTTCTCATTTTCAAGGGTCACTGGTGTCCCCCCGTCCCCCAGGCTCTGGGACACACATGCTCTTGTCCAGCGGACTGTCCACCCCCCTCGTCCCACACAGCTGCCGGGCCCCACAGCTGTGTCTTCCCTGTCAAACGGCCCCTCACTGCAGCACGCCCCCCCGGCCTCCCAGCGGCCCTGCCCGCTCACCAGCCTGCAGATGTCCAGCTGGTACAGGAAGTCCCAGGTGGTCATTTTCCGGAAAGTCCTGGGCTGCCCCCAGCTGACGTTGCAGTGGGAGGCGTTGCAGGTCACAGAGATGTTGTGGGGCACAGTGTAGACTTCTGTGAGAGCCAGACATGGCCTGTTCAGCCTGGGGGACACTGACCCCAGAGCTGGACATGGCCTGGTCAGCTGGGGGACATGGCCTGGTCGGCCATGGGACACTGAGCCCAGAGTTGGACATGGCCTGGTCAGATGTGGGACTGACCCCAGAGTCTGTATGACCCGAGTCAGCAGAGCACTTCTGGGGGGACTGTCCACTTGAGGCCAGCACAGGTACTTCCAGGGGGACTGTCCACTCGGGGCCAGCAAGGCACTTGTTGGAGGGCTGTTCACTTGGGGCTGACAGGGCACCTCCAGGGGGACTGTCCACTTGCGGCCGGCAGGGCACTTGCAGGGACTGTCCATTTGTGGCCAGCAGGGCACTTGTGGGCGGACTGTCCACTTGGGGCCAGCAGGACACCTCTGGGGGACTGTCCACTTGTGGCTGGCAGGGCACTTGCAGGGACTGCCCATTTCTGGCCAGCAGGGCACTTCCAGGGGGGCTGTCCACTTGTGGGCAGCACGGGCACCTGCAGGGGCTCACTGCCGGGGTGCACAGGCCCAGGGCTCCAGGCCCTCCATGCCCCCCCCATTAGCGGTGCCCCCACCCACCCCTGCTGCAGCCTCAGAGACTGGACACGCCTCCTGAAGCATCAGCCTCCTTCAGAGGGGGCGGTAGGAGGCCAGGTGGCCTGCGGTCAGCTCAGAGCATGCCCACTGGACACCAGGGCAGGTGCAGACTCAGCCCCGGACGCCCCACGGGTTTGCCCAGAGACTTCAGTGCCCAGGAGGACACTGACCTCCCAGATCCCCTTTAGGGAGAAGGCCCAGTTGGAATGGCCAGCAGGGGACGCAGGGGCCAGGTCCCCCAGCTTCCCGCCTGCCCAGGGCCTCACGCCTGGAGACGTCATCACCTCCGCAGCCAGCACAGGGCCCCACGGGGGCATTGGGGCCCAGCCTGACCTCACCTCCAGCCCCCTGGGGAGGGGGAACGCCCTGGTGGCCCCTGACCCCCAGCCCAGCTCCTGCCGGTCAGGTCACCTGATTAACATCACAAAGACCCTTCCTCCCGCCAATCACCGGAAATGCCAAGCATTTTCTTGCTGCTGAAACCAGGATAAAGGGCAAATCTCCTTTTCTTCTTAGGATTCCAGTGTCCAGGCGAGAGTGGGGAGATGGGCCTCTCGCGAGGATGGACAAAGAGCAGAACCCCCCTCAATGGTGCTGGCTTCAGGGGCGCCTCCTGCCTTTTCTCGGGGAGCAGCTTGGAGCCCCGCATCTCCGAAGCTGAGTCCCTGAGGCTGAGGGAGCTTGGACCCCTTTCTCGGTCCTGCGCCCTTTATTCCTATTGCCGTGAGAACTTAAGAGCCCAGAGTCCGGGGCCAACGGGACAGTATTCAGAAATAATACTAGGTTTTGGGGTTCTGTCGCGGGGGAGAGGCCCGTGGGGAGGTGACCACAGGGGGCCTTTGTCTTGACTGGGGTTGGGTTTTGCTCCTTGGCTCCAGCCCTGCCTGGCCCCTCCTCCCCTGTCCTGCGGCCCCCCCAGACGGAGCCTTAGATGTGGGGGACACTCTTGGGGCTCAGGGGCCCTGCTTTGGGCCTCCTCTGCTTACCTGGACATTGACCCACAAGGGGGTGGGCGACTTGGGGTGCTTAGGCCCTATTCTCTCTCTTCTCCCTACTGCCCGCTCATTGTAGGAAAATTCCTTGCCGTTAAAGACCCAGAGTATGTTGGTCTGGATGCAGGGGGTGCAGAACCCATTTAGGCTGGGCAGGTTTGGGGGTTCTGGGGTGCCCCTCACGCTGCTCTGCAACAGCTGGTCATCAGTGGGGGCTGAGAGGCTGGGGGCCCTGCCCGAAGCAGACCGTCCCGTACGAGGAAGCTCGGGAAAGGCCCGTTCCTAGTGAAAAACGCAGATTCTGGGGCGGGAATCATAATGTCCCGTATGTTTGCCACAAAAACACCAGGATTCTTGGGGTCTGCACCCCCAGAAGCCCGGCCGGCTGGCCACGTAAGCGCCCTCACCTATTTCCTTTGTCTCGAGACTCAAATCGAGGAACTGGATTCCGGTTCTTCGGCTGGTCCCGTTGAGCAGGATGTAACTGGAGCTCCCCAGGCCCGAAAGGTCGTGGAGGTGACACCCCACGTGTGTCCCCGAGGCGTCCACGTAAAGAGGACACTCCCTCCCGTTTGGGTGCCTGTAAGACGCAGAATGTCCACGGCACCACGTGACGTGATCCTCCTGGTCACCGTGGGCTTCAGGCTGCGTCCTCGGGGCCGGCACTTACTGCGAGAGCTGCATGTACAGAAAGTACTGGACGTCGTCAGGGGCGGCTGGACCCTTGGCCCAGGAGCAGTTCATGAATTCCACGTCGTAGATGAAGCAGGAGAAGTTCTGGGCCGCGGTGCCCTCCTTGCCTGCACGAGATGATTGGTTAGAACGGGGTGGGGGGCCCTCCCTGGGCGCGCAAGAGCTGTCCGCAGGCTCTGCTGCACGAGTTCGATCCCCGGCCGGCCAGGGAGCTGACCACAGGGCGCAGCAGACCCCTCCTGGCCCCCCGCTGCTCCCCTCAGCAGTGGATTTCAGTGGATTAGCCTGGTCTGCTCCCCACTCTGTCTCTGGGGAGTCCTCTCACCGCCCCCCCCCACACAGGTCTGGTCTACACCCCAGGTCTTGCCTGCATCAATAAATAAATATTTTTAAAAATAGGCACCTCAAGTCGTGTGATTTGATACCAGAGAGAGCACAAAAGGCCCAAGATCCTCACGGTAGATGTTGAAAAACGCTGGACGAAATTCAACATCCATTCACGACAAAAAAAAGGCATAAAATAGGCACAAAATAGGCCTTAAAAAGGCATAAAATAGGGACAAAAGGAACGTATCAGTGGGTGGATGGGGCAGGGATAGCTTCATGATTACCTCGATCTCAAAAAAGCCAGAAAAAGGGGGATCCCTATTTTTTTCTTAATTTAATTAATTAATTTATTTTTAAGATTTATTTATTGACGCACACAAGAGCCGGGGTGCAGGCCAGAGGCGTGGGGGGTCAGAGGGTTCCCCAGAGACAGAGTGGGCAGCAGCACAGGAGGATTTTGAGTGAAATCCACAGCTGAGGGGAGCAGCGGGGGGTCAGCAGGGGTCTGCTGCGCCCTGGGGGTCACTCCCTGGCTGGCCGGGGATCAAACTCACGCTGCAGAGGCTGGGGACAGCTTCGTCGTCGGTTGCCTCCTAACCCCTTGCGCCACCAGGGAGGCCCCGGGGAGGCCCATTTTGGAGCAGGGGCACCAGTGGGGTGTGCGCCTACCTGGGTTGGTGTACGGCAATTCTTCCTTGACCTCCCCGTGGCTGGTGTTGACGGTCAGGACCAGCGTGACCCCCAGGTGCAGAGTGTAGTCCTCAAAGGAGCACTCACAGTCCATCGGCTCGAGCTGCAGAGATGCAACCAGCGGGCGGTTAGGAAACAGCTGCCCCTGCCATCTGCGCTTCCCTCAACCTGCCACGTCCGTCACCCACCTCCGTTGAAGAAACCTCACCCCGGCACCTTCTCTGGGCATTGTGCCCGCATGGCAATGGGCATGCCCCCTGGGTCCAGGGTAATCTAATTAAAAATGCAGATTCTGGAAGCACAAGGCTCTCGTGGGGGCTGGGATTCTGCGTTTTAATGCGCTCCCGGGTGAGGTGCATGGGACACGCGTGGACGTACGAGGTTCCCTCGGACCCTGGAGCTTTACGGAGCTGAAGCTCTGATATTGCACTTTTTTGCCCTATTTCATCGCCACCCTCCTGCCACGGGCTTCCCTGTCACATTGTATCCCAGGCAGCCTGGTTGCTGGTTTCTGCTGAGCAGGCAGGCGGGTGCCGTGACGTCCTCGGGATGAGGTCGACCAGCTGGACATGTATATATATATATAATATTTTTTAATAGGAAATGTATTTTTTATTTGAATCTATAGCTGACAAGCAAATCACAAGGCAATCTAAAAGGAGCCCCGGAAAACTCAGAGGGAAACAGAACAGCAGTCTTGAATGGTTTTGGGTTTTGGGGACAAAAGCTGTCAAAATGAGGATAAATTCTTCAGAAATTAGGCCCAGGTCAGGCTCATGCTTAGGTCACTGAGTCATGAATTTTCCTCCGTCCTGAGGAAAGAATTTTGCTCCGAAGGCCTGCGCTTCGCTCCTTCTACCACGGGGAAGAACAGAACACAAACGCATAAACATCCATAGAGCAATGGGGGCAGCTGAACCCCCAGTTGAAATCCCGGCCCCAGCACCGTTTCGTCCACGAAGTTGGGCGTTTAATCAATCCTTCCCAAACTGAGCTGGAGAAATGAATGAAATTGTACGTATAAAACACTTTTTTCCCTTTTTATTTTTTTATATTTATTTTTTTAGGGTGTAGAATTCTTTTCCCCCCTTTTTAAAAATTTTATATATTTTTTACATCATTTTTCATCTTTGTGGATGTATGAATTTGCATCTTGGTGAGCGTCCCCGTAAAACTGCCCCCACCCTTGTTTGGATCCTACTCCCTTCTCCCCCCATGTAGTGTGTGTCTGGTTTACAGCTGCCTCCTGATTTTGATTTTTATTTTATCATAATCAGTCTTTTTCCCGATCCTTTATTTGGGTCTTTTAAATTCCTGCTATGCGTGAGACCATCCAGTATTTTTCTTTTTCCTTCTGGCTCATTTCACCAACCATGACCCCTCCCGGCTCCATCCATGTTGCTGCAAATGGGGTGTGTTTATCCTTTTTCATGGCTGAGTAATATTCCACAGTGTATATGTCCCACATCTTCTTGATCCAGTGGAAAAATCATTTTAAAGGGATTATTTTAAGTCTGATTGCGGTGCACGCAGGAATACACTAAGGTAGAACTAGGATCATACGTGAACGATACGCTAAGCAGTTTACATACTTTGCCTCCAATTCCAATCCAGAAAAAATTCAATTCGTTATTCTACGACTCGGTGACATCTACCTCTAGGCACCTCAGACAGTACTTTGCATTTCTCTACCTGTGTTTTAGGACTAAGAACCTCGAGTCAATCACGAGCCATCGGATGGAAGAAGATAAGAAGATTTAGACTAATTTTTTTAAACTGGAGAGCAGATAACATCCTCGTTGGGCCTTTTCCGTAGACCACATCTTTGCAGGTGGGCTGCTTTGAATGGATCAATTGCAGAAGAGATTACAGCTGAGTCTATGCTGATGGGCAGAGGGGCGGATGGGGGGCAGGTGGTTCCCCTAAACAACAACCCCGGGAAGGGCCCAGAGGATTGACAGTCACGTAATCATTGCCTCACTTGATGACGGACAGGACAAGATGGCAGCTCAGCAACTCCCATCCCCTTACCTTTTTTTTTTTTAAGATTGATTGATTGATTGATTGATTGATTGATTGATTTTTTACATACAAGCACTGGGTACAGACAGAAGCGCCGGAGGGTGAGAGGATTCACCAGAGCCAGAGCGGGGAGCAGAGCAGGCAGAAGGACGAAGTACACTGCTGAGGGGAGCGGCGGGCGGCAGGAGAGGTCTGCGCGCCATGCGGGACCCTCCTCCGGTGACCGGGGAGCAGCCGGGGATCGAACCAGCGCCGCAGAGGCCGAGGGCAGCTTCGCAACCCAGCGCTCAACCGCTGCGCCACCGGGGAGGCCCCCCTTACCTTTTTTTTAATGCGTCCTTCTTCCTTGTGAATCATCTCACACTCCATGCCCATGACGTCTTCTCGGCAGTCCCAACTTAGCGTCATGTTCCACGGGTCGAACTTCATATTTAGACGTGGCTTCGTTTCAGTGGTGGGAAGAGCTGAGCAAAGAGACCGGTGGACTCAGAAGTCGCTCTCTCCACCTCCGTCACCCCCCAAACTGACACACCCTAAGTCTAGTAGGTGAAGACCAGGCCTGGCACTAGCTGACCCTTTTCCGTGTCACCTCGCTGGGCCCTGGACACTACTGGCACCTTCTCAGCGTCTCCTCCCTTCTCCTCTCTCCTTCCTCACTAGGGATTCTGCATTTTATTTGATTTTTCTAGCATTATTTATTTATCTATCTATTTATTTATTTTAAGATTTATTTATTTATTTATTTATTCATACAAGCACTGGGTACAGTCAGAAGCGCGGGAGGGTGAGAGAATCCACCAGAGCCAGAGCGGGGAGCAGAGCAGGCAGGAGGACCGAAGGACACTGCTGAGGGGAGCAGCGGGCGGCAGGAGAGGTCTGCGCGCCATGCGGGACCCTCCTCCGGTGGCCGGGGAGCAGCCGGGGATCGAACCGGTGCTGCAGAGGCCGCGGGCAGCTTCGCAACCCAGCGCTCAACCGCTGCGCCACCGGGGAGGCCCAGCATTATTTATTGATGCACACAAGAGCTGGGGTGCAGGCCAGAAGTGCAGGGGGTGAGAGGACTCACCAGAGGCAGAGTGGGGAGCAGAACAGACTGAAATCCACTGCAGAGGGGAGCGGAGGGCACAGAGGAGAGGTCTGCTGCGCCCTGTGGGCCACCTCCCTGGCAGGCCGGGGGTCAAACTCCTGCTGCAGGGTCTGCAGATCACTTCACAGAGCTGTGCTTAACCCCCCGTGCCACCAGGGAGGCCCGGGATTCTGCATTTTAATAAGCTCCTCGTGATGAGGATGAAACACAATCTGAGCTGTGAGATGCCCTCGTCCCCTTGAACTTTATGGAGCTGAAGCTGCTTCTTTGCACTTTCTTGTCATATCTCATCATCACCCTCTGCCAAGGGCATCCCAGCTACATTGTATCCCCTGCGGTCTGCTTGCTTGGTTTCCGCTGAGCAGACAGCTGGCATCGCCTCTTCTCCAGATTGGAATGAAAGGAGAGCTGCAGGGCGGGGCCGGAGTGGGCTGTCTTGTGCCGGTGCTGGAGCAAGGATGTCGGCCACTATCGCTGGCGCTGACCAACGGCAGCGGACAGGGGGCAGGCATGGGTGGGCCTGGGGACCGGGAAATCTGGGATGAACTGCCTGAAGCAGGGCTCCCACGGGGCGGCGCAGGGGCCCTATTTGGCTTCCTCTGGTTGGTCCTAGGTGGGCCGTGTGGATAATAACCCAAGAGGTGGTCACTGGACAGGCCTGACCTTCTGGGCCTTCTGAAGTCTGGTTTCCTGGTAATTTTGGGGTGTTGTTGGGAAATGATTTAAGATCCTTTCTTCTTAAGGAACTTTCACACTAAGCATCTAGTTCTTTGTCTGTGCACACAGATGGCCATGCACCCCTGAGCCGTTTGGGGGCTCTGGGGACCCTCGTTCACACACTAAAAGCCCTAGGTTCTGGGAAGCACCCCAAACCCCAGGGACATGGAAGTGGGGGTGTCCCAGAGAGACCAGGCACGTTGGCAAACACTCACCCTGGGGCTCGTGGCGCAGCAGGAGGGCTGGGTCCAGCAGGATGGACAGGAGGAACACCACGAGCAGGGGAGCCGGGGAGACGCCAGCCCAACCGGGAAGCTCTGGAGGGAGCGAGAGATTCACACTTTGAGGAGCTGGTTCCCCAGGGGCTCTTGGGGAACGCACATCAGCTCACACCTTGCCCATTGGGAGCCTCCATTCAGGGTACTCGGGAGACCCCTAAACCACGGCCTCGGGGAACAGGGGGGCAGTGCCTCCTGGCTTCTCCATGGCCTCCAGGAACTGCTCTGCCGCATGGGGGACCCCAAAGCCCGCGCTGGAGGGGTGGGGGCCCTCACGGGGTGCACCCTGCTCTCACCTCTGCTGCAGGCACCGAGGTCCCGCGTTAGAGGGGCCTGTGGGGTCATGGGCGCTCCCCTGGGGTCTCCGCGCCCTCGCAGTGCTCGGCCTGCGGCTGCGCTGCGCGCGCCTGGGAGCCGGTTCCTCCTCCTGCGCCCGCCCCTCCGCCCCCTGTGCCCGCCCCGCGGCCAGCAACGGAGAAACCGCATCCACGCCGGGACGCCGGGCCAGTTCCCCATTCGGCTTCTGGGAACGGCTTTCGTTCCACCGCCTGGGTGGAACGAAACCATGAACTTCTGTAAACTTGACTTTGGAAACCATGACCGATGCTCCGCCCACAGGGCCCTGACCCCAAGCCGGGCTGGACGCCGGGGCGGGGGCAGGAGCTGGGCCGGCCCTGCAGGCAGCGCACCCCGCCCCGGCACCCCCGCCGTCTGGCTGAGCCGGACCCGCCTCGCGCCCGCTGCGCCCCCAAAAGCTGCGGGGAGTTCTGGGCGAGGGGCCTCTTCCTCTCCCTTTGGGGCCCTTCGACGCCTCGGCCGCTGCGCCCTCCACCTGCCTGTCCCCCTCGCTCGTGTCCAGGGTCCTGCGCTTCACGAGGCCCTGCTTTGGCGCCTCCGCGGAGCGCACGTCGGATCCAGCGGCCCCAGCGGCAGCCCCGCTGCTCCCACCTCCCCCGGGGTGGCCGCTTGTCTGTCCTCGCGGCCGAGTCCAGGCAGGGGACGGGCCACCCTCTGCCGCCCGGCGCCCTGGTTTGCCCCCGTCCAGGCTGCGGTGGCCACGCGCCATAACCACGCTGGCGCGGACGGCGTCTGCGCTGAGGGTCTCGCCTCTCGGCGGTCGCACCGGCGCGCGGCTGCGCCCGCACTGGCCCCAAGTCCGGGTCTGCACCTCCCGGCTCCTGCTTCGGGGTCCCCAAATCCTGGCCTTGGCCTCCTGCAGTGCCAGCCTGCGCCTCCCCAAATCACCGCCTGCGCCTCCCCTGTTCCGTGTCTCAGCCTCCCCAAATCCCAGCCTCGGCCTCCCCAAATCCAGGCTTCGGCCTCCCCCGTCCCAGCCTGCGCCTCCCCAATCCCTGCATGCGCCTCCCCCAATCCCTGCGTGCGCCTCCCCATCCGGGCCTGCGCCTCCCACCCCAGGCTCAGAGCCGCTTTCCTGGCGTCTTCCGGACGCTTCCTGGAAACGGCAGCGCAGCCTTCACCGGCGCATCCCTCCCTGTGCGCGCTGTCGCCTGTGGCTGTGGGGCACCAGGGGCCTCACCCTTGGGTCCCCGGCCCAGCGTCAGCTTCGCGCACGCCGGAGCTCTCCCTGCACCGCAGAGTCTCTCCCACCAGCGCCCTCACAAGCACCCGGTGGGTTCTGCCTGCAGCACTTTTGGGGGCGCGTCCAGGCATGAGTGTGGCGGGTGGAGGCGAGGGGCGAGAGGCTCAGGCACCGGCCCAGGGGGCTCCGCTGGGCGACTCCCCCGGCCGGCTCTGCTGTCTCCCGGCGCCTCCCATGCGCCCGGGTTTGGACACGCTCCAAACCAGCTCCCGCCGCCACACACAGGCGGGCTCCCCGCGAGCTCCAGCTGCAGCTTCTGCGCCTGCCCTCGGCGGCCTCTGCGCAGCCCCGCCCGCCGGCCAGTCCCACCTTGCTGACCCCGCAGCAGCAGCAGCAGCAGGAAAGTGGCCACTGGCCCCTGCGCGCCCCCTCCCCAGAGCCAGGCGCACTCACCCGCCCGCAGCAGGCGCCCCATCCGCCTGCCTCACTGCGCTCTGCGGCGCCCCGTGGCCCCTGCGCCTCCGCGCGTCCAGGCTGTGCTGGCCCTGGCGCGTCCTGGCGGGTCAGGGCTTGGCGGGGCCATTCCCCCGCATTTCCATTGACCTTTGTCCGGCGGCCCTGCCCCTTCCTGCCCCGCCCGCGCTTCCTCATTTCTCTCTACACGATGGGGGAGCAGCCTGCGCCCCGGCTCCCTGGTTACACCCGACGCAGAGATGGAGGCTGAGGGTCATCGTGTACGTGGTGGAGACACACATGGACACGCAGACACACTCGCAGAGACGCACACTCATACAGACGCACACACAGACACACACGCATGCACACCCCAGGTGCTGCCCCCTGCGCACCCCAGGACTGGACACCCAGCAGGCCTCTGTGTCTTCTGCATCTGCGCACACTCCCTGTCCCCTGCCCCTCTGGCCCCTGAGCCCGAGTGTCCAGCTCTGCTGACACTGGGGTCCTGGCAGCGTGGACCCCAGGAGCGGCCCCAGGGCCCCGGCACGGGCCCGGTTTCCACCATGGCCACGTCTGGCCAAGCAGGACCCGTGGGGAGAAGCCTGGGAGCAAACGGGCGCCGAGGAGTGACCGCCTCTGGCTTCTCCGGCCTTTGTGGGCCAGCTCAGCGGCCAGGTGTGAGAATGGGACGGGGGTCAAGGGGCGCTTCCCGAGTGGGTGCCCAGCCAGGGTCCCGCTGGGAGGCTCTCGGGGAGCGCAGGCTCGGGCAGGGGCCAGGGGCCAGCAGGACCAGCGGCAAGCAGGCTGCTCATGGTGCTGACCTTGACCCAATGCAGCAGTGTCCACTTCTCTGCTCTCTGCTTTGCGGCTGGGACTCTTCGGGTCTCCAGGAATCCGTGGCCAGGCAAAGGTCACACTCTCCCCGGCAGCCGTGATGTCCTTCCACCTGCTCCCGCACCGGTGGCCGTGCTGGCCAGGGCGTCCCCCGGGGCTGGGTGGGAGAGCACCGTGACCGGCCGCACGAAGGAAAGTCAGCGTGGGCCCCTCCTGGGAGGAGGTCACCGGGGCCGAGCTCCCGAGTGGAGAGGAGGAGCCACGTCGTGTCCACTGCGTGCTCAGGCCTCCCCTCTGGACACTAAGTCCACTGCCCCCTCTCCTGCCGGGGGAAAAGGGGACCTGGAAGAAAGGGCCAGGCCTCCTCTGTGGGCTCCTTACTTTGAAGAGAAAAATAAGACACTTGTCCAGCCGGGTGGGTGAACAACCTGCCCGTCTTCGGGTGATCGTGATGGTGGTGGTGGTGCCGATGGTGTTGGTGATGGTGCTTGTGATGATGGTGCTGGCGATGGTGATGGTGCTGCTGCTGCTGATGGTGATGATGGTGATGGTGATGGTGGTGATGGTGGTGCTGCTGATGGTGGTGGTGGTGATGGTGGTGATGGTGATGGTGGTGATGCTGATGCTGATGATGGTGATGATGGTGGTGGTGATGTTGGTGGGGAGGGCCATGGTGGTCAGGATGACGATTATGATGATGGTGGCGATGAATATGGTGATGATGATGGTGATGGTGGTGATGGTGGTGGTGAAGACGGTGCTGCTGATGATGGTGGTGATGGTGGCGGTGCTGATGGTGGTGGTGTTGATGGTGATGGTGGTGGTGATTCTGGTGATGATGACAGAGGTGATGGTGGTGATTGTGATGGTGATGATGGTGATTGTGGTGATGATGGTGATGGTGATGAAGCTGGTGGTGATGGTGGTGACGATGGTAATGATGGTGCTGATGGTGACGAAGCTGGTGGTGATGATGATGGTGGTGGTGTTGATGATGATGATGGTGTTGATGGTGATGGTGATGATGATGATGGTGATGATGGTCGTGGCATTGATGGTGATGGGGGTGGTGATTGTGGTGATGATGACAGAGTTGATGGTGGTGATTGTGGTGATGATGATGGTGGTGCTGATGTGGTGATGATGGTGATGGTGGTGGTGATGATGGTGGTATTAATGGTAATGGTGATGGGGATGGTGCTGATGGTGGTGATTGTCATGATGATGGTGGTGGTGTTGATGTGGTGATGATGGTGGTGATGGTGGTGGTGGTGATGATGGTGGTGGTGATGATGGTGATGGTGGTGATGGTGATGGTGGTAATGATGGTGAGGGTGGTGATGATGATGGTGGTGGTGATGGTGATGATGGTGGTGTTAATGGTAATTGTGATGGTGGTGATGATGGTGTTGATGGTGGTGATGATGGTGTTGATGGTGGTGATGGTGATGTTGGTGGTGTGGATGGTGGTGATGATGGTGACTATGATGATGATGGTGGTGCTGGTGCTGATGGTGGTGGTGAGGATGCAGACCGATGCACCTACTCAAATGCATACACACCTGGGAATCCACCTCCCCAACAGTATGCACACGCACACGCACACACACCCCTAAGTGCCCACACACCTGCGGACGCCTTCTACCCCTCACTTGCGGGACACACTCACCTGCATAGAACACACCTGTACCATCTATCCTCACGCGTCCACTTCAGAGCCCCACACCCGCACACACACCCTCGTACTGACACCCTGCAGCTTCACAGACACGGGAGTTGCTGCGGTTTATATAGGGCGGGGTTGGGAGAGAAGAGAGAGCTGCCCGGATCCAGGCGTGGTGCGTGACCGTGTGCATACAGTGTGCGTGCACACACCTGCACATGTGTAGCTTGAGTGCGGCCATGCGCCCAGTTTCTGTGCTCGGCATGCAGGTGGGGGGACACTGGGCATAAATATAACACACCCTAGAGAGCTGTGTTCCACGCAGAGTCCAACGCACCCCCTTCCAGTGGCCCTACTGGGTGGTCCCGACACGTGGTGTCGCCGTCCAGACCCCGGCTTACCTGGAACAGCTCCGTGGCCAAGGGCTGTCCTCTGATTTCCAGTAACCCCACGCGTGGGGCTCCTGATTTCTGTTTCTTGGAAGCTCAATTTCCCCATAACGGTGAACCCCAAAAGTGCAGCCCTCACCGCTTTGTTTTCCTGGAGCTCGGCGGTGGGGACAGCACTTCCCAGAAAGGAGAAGCATCGTGTCCCCACAAAGGTCAGAACTCGACCGCCTTGTCCGCTACCTGGCTTGGGATTCTTGCCTCCAACTGTCCCCCGTTTTCTTCCTCCCTCATGCCTCTCAGAGCTTCTGAGTCTCCAAGTGTCCTTGAGGATACTGTGGCTTCTTGGGGTCCCCATGGGGTGAGCGGTCAGCAGAGGAGACTGTCCCGTTGTGGACACTCATGGCTGCCAAGACTCCAGCTCAGGAACCCCAGGATCCGCAATTCTCTGCGTCCTTCAGACCCCAAGGGGGTTGTCTAGGTGGGCGGGCGAGGCTGTGGACGGGGGGCGGCTTATTCCAGATGAGGACGCAGACCTGGCCCATGTGGTGACCCCACAGCAATGGCCTCTGTGCCCCCGGGACGGGAGGGGCCTGTGTGGACGCCCGGGAACCACACCTGTTCACGGCGTGACCCTGCCATGACCCTGCCTGCAACTGGTGGCAACGGCAACTTTCCCTGGGGCAGTCTTCGGATCCCCCCACCTTTCCCCGCATCTTGGGGTGACCAGGCTGTGCTTTCGGGATTCCGGGGGCTTCGAAGGAATCATTCTGTGCCGTGTGGCACGTGCCCCTGCAACGTTGCATCCAAATGGCCCTCAGAATAGGACCTTGTTTGGAAACGGGGGTCCCTGTGGGGGTGACGCGTGAATCACCCAAGAGGAACACCCCCAGGCCAGGGCCCTGCACCCCAAGACAGTCCTCGAGGAGACGCAGACACGGGGGAGGAGCCACGGGGACCGGAGAGGAGATGGGAGGTCTGGAGGCCCGGGAAGGGGTGTCCCTGGAGTCTGGGAGCCCCGGGAGCTTGAGGAGGCGGGAAGGGCCCCCCCTGGAGCCTGCAGGCACAGCCTGGGGACCCCTGGTGGGGAGCCCTGGGCTCAGGGTGGGCTCGGGGACTGTGGGTGGGGACCGTGGGACGGAGGCTCAGAGGCGGCCGCAAGTTCTGCTTCCGCGCACCGGCGCCGCCCGCATGTCGACACCCCGACCTGACGGCCCCACCGAGGGGCCCCGAGCCGTCCTCTCTGCCCTGGGCCGCCCCTCCCTCTCCGGCGCCCAGTGTTTGTCCAGCGCGGCCCCCTGAAACTGCTCGGTGCCGAGCACAGCGGGGGCTCCGAGCTCGAGGGGCTGAGCTCACGCCGCCCCCGGCCACCTCCGTGGGGCCCCGGCTTCCTCCCGGGGTGAGGGGGTGGCGGGTGGGGCTTCCCGTCCCACGCTGTGACTTCTGACGACACCGCGGCCGGGCGGCCCCCCTCTTCCTCGTTTTGGGGGTGTGAGCAGGTGTGTAGAGGTGGGTGGGGAGAATGGGCCAGGACAGAAGTGGGAAAAGCATCCCCCGGTTCCCACACTCCCGTGGGAGGGCGACGCCGGGGGTGGGAGTGGGGTGACACGGGCGGGGGGCAGCGGACGGGGGGGCAGTGGACACGGTGACCACCAGGGGACAGGCGCCTGCAGCCATGGTGCGTCTCCCATGCGGGCTCAGGTGGGGACAGCAAGAGATGGGCAGGACCCCCCAAAATAGAGGGTCTTGCTCCTCACTCGTCAGTACAGTTTGGGGCAACCCCAAAGACGGGCAACTGGGGGACCCCAAAGAGGGGTGTCTGGGTGACCCCAAAGAAGAGTGTCTGGGTGTCCCCGAAGAGGAGTGTCTGGTTGACCCCAGGAAGGGGCATCTGGGCAACCCTAAAGAGGGGTGCCTAGGTGGCCCCAAAGAGGAGCATCTGGGTGACCCCGAAGAGGAGTGTCTGGGTGACCCCAATGAGGAGTTTCTGGGTGACCCTAAAGATGGGTGTCTGGGTGACTCCACAGAAGTGGTGTCTGCGTGACTCCAAAGAGGGGCATCTGGGTGACCCCAAAGACAGCCACCTGTGTGACCCCCAAAGAGGGGCATCTGGGGGACTCCAAAGAGAGGCATTTGGTTGACTGGTTGACCCCAAAGAGGGGCTTCTGGGTGACCCCAAAGAGGGGCATCTGGGTGACCCCAAAGAGGGGTATCTGGTTGACCCCAAAGAAGGGGCGTCTGGGTGATCACAAAGAGGGGCGTCTGGGTGACCCCAAAGAGGGGCATCTGGGTGAACCCAAAGAGGGGCTTCTGGGTGACCCCAAAGCAGTCACCCCTCATTGACCCAAGCACAGCCTGGGGGAGCCGGGTCGACCCTCCCCTAGGGCCCGTGTCTGCTCCCCGACCCCAGCACGCGCCATCACGGTCATCGCCACGCTGGCCGCTGCATGTCCCTCTCCCACGCGTTCTCAGGCCAGCCGGGGACATGGGGGCAGCCTCTGCGTGTCGTGGGGCTCCGGTCCTGTGTCCCGGGTCAGCGCCAGGCGTGGCTGTGCTGCCCGGGGGCCAGGGGTCCATCTGTACTGCCCCACACGCCTGCGACCCCCCAACCCCAACTTCCCCGGCCCCTGCCACGTCCCTCCTGGCCACCGCGGACCAGCCTCACCGTCCAGGCACTGATTTTTCTTTGCTTTCCTTCCCCTGCTGGTCCTGTGAAGTGTCCCCTCCGGCCCTGGACACCCCAGGACGCTACGCAGGGACACGTGTCCCCAATGTGCCCCGAGCCCTGTAGGATTTCCACCTCATGGGGTCTCCACACACAGGGAATTGAGTCCAGTTTCCTTTGCTGACCCTCATGATGCCCTTGGGGTGAGTAATCCCCCAAAGCACCCGGAGGACAGGGGACCCCAATTTATTGGATGATTGTCCTTGTCCGGGGGAAACAAATGACAGAGTGGTGGGGGCAGAGGACAGAGGTCAGTGCCTTCTGCAAGAGGAAAAGGACAGTCCATCTGGGCTGCCCCTGGACAAGCTGGGTCCTTGGGGAGGTAACACAGAGGGTCAGAGAAACTGGGGACCCCACGGGTGACCCATATGGAACAGGACCCCCCCAGCAAGAGGTGGTCACGTCATCCATGGCCGGGGTGGAGATGGGCAGGCTCAGCACCTCCCAAGTGGCCACCGCTGGACACGGGACCAGAGTGAGGGAGAAAACGCACCCCTGGGTGAGCGGTCAGTGAGCCCGGAGCATGTGCTGAGATGACCTTCGGTGCGTCCAGTCCTGACCCAGGACTCTCAGCCCCTCTCTGGTTTATTCCGACTTCCTGCAGCACAGCTCAGCTCGCCTGCCCCCACATCCCCTGACCCCACGTGAGTCCTGATGGACAGTGATCCGCTCTCCTGCCCCCACATCCCCTGACCCCACGTGAGTCCTGATGGACAGTGATCCGCTCTCCTGCCCCCATGTCTCCTGACCCCACGTCACTC